AGCTCTTTTTCTTATCATTTGTAAGTAATCTAAACTTTCCATTGCTCAATTTTATTTTTAACTCTTAAAATTGGACGGGCATTAGTAACTACCACCTAGGACTTTGTGAAATAAAAGTGACATAGTTAACTTAAATCACTTAGCATTGCACTGGGATTATAGTGAGTATTCAGTAAGTTTTAGCTAATGATATTTTTATTTCATAAAGAGACATGGTTTTGATTTATTGAAATGCTAACACAAAGCCCATTGAAACTCACGTTTTCAAATGTCATCATTGAGAATGACATCATTGTATCTGCATTATCATTTTGCTTGAACTTCTAGTTTATGCATCATAAGGAAACATACAGCAAAAAATAACAAATCTTATAAGAGAGACCAAAGATTTGCTCATTTCTTTTATGCAGGAGTTGGGGCTAAATTTATAGAAATCTCATGGTTAATTACAGTGTGTGTGGTAACCTTATAAAAATATCTATATTGAAGTTATGAAATCTAATCTGAGGACACAGGGATATGGTATAAAATATATAGAATCACACATTTTTTAGCAGTCAAGATATTCAACTTACATTCAATAATTTAGCAACTGATCAAATTTTTGAGATACCAAACTTCTTTTTCTTCATTTTTCACTTCTGCCTATTTTTCAATTTATTTATATATCTATTCTGGGAGAAAGAGTTAAGAGGAGGAAAATGCTAATCTAATAGGGTTACTTCTTAGCAGAGAGGAAAAAAATGAAAAGTTTAGATTGTGATGATAAATCCATTGTGGGTTGCCCACTTCACTAATATGCAGTAGCTATAATTCCTCGGTCTTCCACTGGCTGAGAGAATTAAGAGTTAGCTGATATGTTTTGACAGAGGTGGAGCACTTAATCTTAAAACTATTTCTCACAAAGGAGTGAATGGGCTTGCAATTGAAACTATGTCTTTCTCTATAAAAATACATGGAAGCTTTTACATTAAATTTTCTAATACCATAAACGTTAAAATATCTTCAGCCACATCAGTTTATTCACTATTTTTATTCATTGCTATTTCATTTTATATACAATTTGTTATACTAAACAAATATAACTCCAGGTAACTCAAAAGACAGCAAAACAACAACAAAACAACAACAGCAAAAGAACAACAAAAACCTATGGAGAATTTGTAAATTATGCTGAACATTTAATTGAAAATATTAGGCAGAATGTGTTTAAATAAATATATCTAGAGAAAAGGCACCAATGGAAACTAAATCCAATATACAAAGGGACAATGGCCTGACCATATATAAAAATAGAAACAAACCTCCTTATCTACAATAAACAGCCCAGTAAACCAGCCTTTTGTAAATCAGATTTGCAAGAAGTCAGATTGCTATCTCTAGTAACAACCCAGGAAGCTAAACAATTACTTATATAAAACAATCAGCTCCAAATGACCAGAATTGATTAATAACTGGCAGCTTTCCCAATTTTCGTCCTTGCTTCCAACTTTAGACCAACAGAGAAAGGTCAAACATGCACCTTTAACCAATGACTTCTAGTTATCCTGCCTACAGCTTCCCCAGGCCAACAGTCTCTAATGAGGACATGTGTGAAGCCTTCCCTATAAAATTTTTTTCTGTACAGCTTTCCCACTCCTTTGCTGGCCTTAAGTCTCTGCCAAAATGCAAGTGATGGAGCCAACTTTGTTGCTAGAGCAGTCTCTGAATGAATACTCTTTTTGCTTTCTTCATTTGGTTAAAATTAATCTATTTTCACACTATTAGAGCATCTATTCCAGGTCCATCAATGAGTAACATGCTTGCATACACTAAAAAGCTAATCTTCATAATATTCTTTGAGAAATTTTTTAAATAGCCATTTTACAGATATAGAGCACTATTTGCAGAAGTTAAATGGCTTCTCATTTTCTCCTGTTTTTACATCAAGCTACAGTAAATGCTTTTGGTGTATGACTGTTTAAAAAAGATTTGAGGCCAGGCATGGAGGTTCATACTTGTAATCACAGCACTTTGGGAGGCCAAGGTAGGCAGATCACTTGAGTTCTGGAATTCAAAGAGCAACCTTGGCAACATAGGGAAATTCCATCTTTGTAAAAAAATATATATATAAAAACGTAGCTGAGCGGGGTGGTGCACACCTGTGGTCCCAGCTACTGTGGAGGCAGAGATGTGAGGATCTCTTGAGCCTGGCATGTGGAGGTTGCAGTGAGCCAAGATCATGCTACTGCACTCCAGCCTTGGTGACAGAGTGAGATCCTGTCTCAAAAACAAAAAAATTAAGATAATATTAAAATTACATCTAACAATAGTAATAGCAGCTGTAAATTAGGTAAGTGTTTTCTAATATGACTTAAATTTGTATCCATCAACTTTCTGGACAAACAAACATTGTATTTTGAATTGATTCATTGCTTTCAAGTTGTAATTTATCAAAATCTATGTGGAATTTTATAAAATCAAAACCACTATAAAAATTACTTCTGTCTTTATTGATATTAGAACATATCAGCAGAAATAATTTGCTGGCCAAGCAGTAATTGCATTAATAAGCTTTTCATAGATAGTGGGTGGAACGCCTTATAAGAAAGTGTTATTATTTATGATATATGATATTGACAAGGAAAAAGGTAAAAATGAAAATGATGACTCTAAAAGTAGGGTAATATATATTTCTTTACCTGGCCTTATAAATACATCACAATTTTTTAAAAGTTAATTGATTATTACCCATATAAGATAGGCACTATTGCATTTAGAAAATGAGGAAACAAAGTCATAGAGATATTTAGAACATTATCCAAAGTTTCTCAATTAGTGCACAGTGAAATCTGTTTTCAAAATGCATTATTATTTTTTTGGTTTCAAAGTCCATCACGTATGCTCAAGAAACATTTGATCAAAATTCACTTTTAAGATATTTCATTAGCACATAATTTAGCCACAGAACTTAAAATGAAAGTAATTTATTTTCTAATTTAGCCATGTTAGAAAGAAAGGAACATGACATTTGCACATATTAGAAATTTCCATGAAAGTTATATAAAACCAGACTGGAAAACATTACGACAATATATGTGACAAATAAAGCTTTTAAAATACCTGAACATTAAATGATATTTAAACACAATTTCTTTTCGAAGGACTGAAAAAAATAAAAAGAAATCTACAGGTAATAATGTGGAATAAGTAATGATGAGTAAAGGTCAAATAAGTCCTTCTGTGATTTCTACTTTGTCCCAATAATTCCATCTAGTTAGCTCAAATCTCTATTTCTTGAATTGAAATCTATAAAAAGATTTATAGCATTTCAATAAACTATTTTTTGAAATTTCACTGTTGTAACCAGAAGTAACTAATTTGCCACTTAAAATTATAAATACGAGGGGACATAATTTGGTAATTTTGCATAGTGTACAGAAGGGAAGACAAAGTGCCTCCTTTACATACCTTAAAAGCTTTCTTCCCTCTCAAGAATAAAAGACTGGTTATTCATTACCTACTCATTGATCTTATTTTTAAAACTTTTAGTTATCTACTCTCCATTGGGCATGTGATAAAATTTTCATTTTGGGCTACAATTTTTTTAATAGAAAAGAAAAATTAATTGAGGTCTCCATCTTTGTCTCTTTCCATATCAGATCTTATAAGTGGAGGTAGATGGGCAAAAGGTGTAAGGCAGGTTTGAGATGCATTTTATAAGAAAACCACCTGGGAATTTCCGATATAAGACAAGTCCCAAACTGTAATCATATAATGGAAATAATATGCTTCAGTAACTCTGAAGCAAAACTACAGTGTAGTAGGCAGATCTCTAGCTTACATTATTCCTGTCTTCCACGGACTAGCTGTGTGACACCAGTCATTGCACCTGACTACTCTGTGGCAGTTTCTTCATCTGAAAGAAGAGGATGATAATAATAACAGAACCTCAGAAACTTTAAGGATTAAGGAGGTTAACATATATGTGTTGAATAGTAAACACCAGGGGAATATTACTTATTACTGTCAATATGAAATAAAGCAAATTATTTTAGATAATGAGCAGTAAGTTGAAAGTGTTCTTATGGCTATGGTCAAAAGAAATTGGATGCTGTTTGTTCTACTAGCTGTAATAATGTTCTTAGATAAAGAAGGAGACAAAAGAATTATCTTCTAGAAAAAGTTAACCATCATGTTTAGATCTAATCAATGAAATAAATTGATTAGACATAAATTTACTACTTATTCATGCTCTGTAATGGTCAGTGAATACTGGATTACAGCACTTATGCTGTCCCTATATCTGTGTAATTTTTTTCATTAAGGTGGACACTTCTCGAAAGCAGAGTTGTATCAAAATTCTTTGAGTCTTAAATGTATACTAATGTTTCACACACAGTGGTACTCATTATATGTTGAATGAATAAATGAATTTATAAAAGTAAAAAATGCATGGATTTCAAAGAAACAATGGAATTCACATAGAGTAGGCTTAACATTTAAAATAAAATATAAATTCTTTACAGAAGCCTCTTTCAAAACTTAAATCTACTTTTTAGAAATGATTCAGCAGCCTTTTCAATATGATTAAGTTCAAAGGACGGCATGGTTTTCTGTGTTTCTACTTCAACTTGACAGAAAGAGATTTGTACTTGTATTCTTACGAAAGAAAAGTAGAAAGCCTACTTGGTAGGGATTTTCATTTATTTATACACACATATGGTTTTATTAGGTGGAATTGTTTTTTAAAGTTAAGATTTGTTTTTAAATTAAGATGAGGAAAATGTTTTTCTTCTGTAATCTTGAAGGTATTTCAATGCACATGTTGCATTGTCCAAGGTTGTCTTCCAAAATTATATATAGGAAGATTGGCACATCTTTTGTAGGTATGGTATATTTTTAATCTAGGCATCACACTGATTTGAGCTATATAATTTTGAAATGTTAGTGCTTATAATCTATTTACATGATTTTATACCTCAGAAGTAATATAATATGTGTATATACTTCCTTCTTACCCTATTTGAGTCAATTCTTGCTCTGGAAGTATAAATGGGAGGTGGGATGTTGAAAGCCTGAGGGACTAAGTACTCCTCAGCATCCATCATATCTTCCAAATCTTCTTCATCCAAGAGATTCTGAAAGAACTTGCTGTCATTTGGACTGGGAAGCTTCATACGATCATCACCCTAAAAGATTACCATCAGACACAAACATGACTTTCTTTTTTTATCTTAAACATGTGGTCTCTGCAATTAATTTTTGTAATATCAAAACAAATCGTTGAAAAATTCATACAGGCATTTTAAAAAAACAAGTCTTTAGCACAACACCAGCCATTAAGAAACCTATAACATGCTTAGATATGACAGGGTCAAATCACAAATTTTATACTAGAATAATATGATAAATACCATTAATAATAAACCAAAATTCAAAAGTTGTTTTTAGGGAGGTAAAGTCAATTTCAGGTCTGAAAATAATTGTTCATTGCCCAGATCATGTGTGGGCTGCAACTTTAAACAATAAAAGGTGATTAACTTATCAACCTTTATGTTATTTGGTTGGTTTGATGCTGTAGGATTATTAGGACGATAGGGTCTATACTTTATTCTATAGCATGCTGGCTACATTATCAAAGCAGTGGCATTCAAAACTCACGGTGCAAGTGTCAAACAGAGTAAAGGTGTATGAAGCAGACACCAAAATCTTTGTTATGCTCTTTCTCACCTCATCTATTTCTTAAGTATTTTTCCTATAACAATTTCAGTTTATGAAAACTAATTTTGGGGAAAAATAAATGGAAATAAGTATCTTCTAAAACCTAGCTTTTATCTTTATGTCAGACTATTGATATGAAAATAAAGGCTACATTGTTTTACTGAGGAAACATAATTCACTCTAGTCCAAAGCTTATTTGTTTCTAGTTTAGGTGAAAATAGTCAGAATCATTTTTAAATTGTCCTGTTTTTCTAGTGTTAAATATAAAATGTTCCTTTGGGTGGTGGATGTGCATCAATTCATTTGAATTGAGTTATTGCTTGGATACTGCATATCTCTCCAAATGAAACAAAACATTTAAAAATATTTTTGGGGAAATTAATATACTGAATCTTTTGATTCATTGTCTTCAAGCATGGGCAACATTAAAACAAATCTGTCTTTTGTTCTGAAAAATGAAAATTATGCTAATGAACATGACTTACACTTAATAAAATCAAAGTCTAAAATCAGTGTCTCAGGATTTAGACCTTTTTATGTATATGTATAATCATAATTATCTGTTCAATATCAGTCACTGGAATACTAACGGAAGGTGCTAAAAGGCATCTTTGACATGAAGTAAAACTCTTTTCATAAGTTATTTCACCTGATAATCTGCTTAATTAATCAGTATGTTAGTGGCCATTTCCACAGTTCCAAAGTCCTGATATTATTCATATTTTGCAGTGAGTTTGCCATCGGCCTAGTCTTAAAGGCATAAATCAAATGTACTAACCTGAATAACTAGGTATCTTTGAGGGTCTCGAGCCATCCTTGAAAATTCGGCAGCCAGTTCCTTAAATTTAGGTCTACTGTCAGCATCAATCATCCAGCCTGGAAATTTACACAGTGAAAAATTTCACTATATCCATAATTAGAAGTTGAGATATAAATTTTATGCAAATATGAGCAAAAGTTTGAAAAATGTTGTTTTAATCATAATCTGAAAAATAAAGCTAGTAAAAGAAACAACTCAGTTGGTAAGGCTTTATCAGTTTCTTTGTTGATATTCCTAACTAAATGTAAGATACTGTAAAACAAAAGATAACTGTTTTCCTCTGATGTATATAGATGAGGTGACTACGATATATTATCATTTTGTATTAGGAGTGACATGGGAGAAAAGATTTGGTTACAATGCTTACACTAGCACAAAGGAGAAAAAGGGAATTAAAAGCAACTTTCTTGTCCTGGTGGGGGGGGGGAGGAAAAAAACTGATGCAAAGTGACTTACAGTAATGTCTGTTTCGCAATAGATATTAGCTTATCTTAGTACTAGCTTGTCTAGCATAAAAATACTATCAGCAAGTTTCAAGGTATGTATTAGTATTTAGCTGGGAGTCTAGATAAAGTAGACCTTATCTCTACAGTCTCTGCTAAGCTAATGAGATGACGAGAATAAAAGTGCAAAGCTTTCCTTGATTTTCCTGCCAAATGATCCGCTTAGGTGTTAAAACCCCCAAAGAAAGGTAAAACTCTCTATTAGGCAAAGTATTTCCTTGGTTTTACATAATTTCATCAGAGCTAAATTCTGATGAATTTAAATCATTTCCTATGCTAGTTATAGGATTAAATTATATAAAGCATGCATGTTTTTAAACTTTCTTCCATAGATGTCTATCAAACAATATTTGAGAGAATAAGGCTGCAAAGCTTGTTCCTTCCTTTTCTGGGAGTTTGGTTATTTCTATTCTGGAAATTCTTTGGATATAATTTTATATATCATTAACGTGATCTGCTTTTTTTCTCTCCAAACAAAGCTCAAATGCTCTGTATTCTATATGTGTTCATTTATAAAAATGCTTGGTAATGCCAAGATACTAATGAGAAAATAGGTGTTTCTGAAACAATTGAAGCCAAAAAAGGTTAAACACAGTTGAGGTATCGGTTTCTCTCCAACTAAATATTGAGTAAATAGAACTATGCTTAGTGAAAAGGGCATGCTGACCTGAACTGCAAAGAACATTTTTTATTTCCTCCCTCACTGTCAGAATGTATCACACATGTCATGAATATAAATCTGAGTAGACCTGGGTCCAAAGTCTCTTATTAATAAGATGCTTATTCACCTTCACCAGTTTGTTTCTTTGCTAACGCCATGTAAATCAGAAGGGGAAAACCTTAGATTATACAAGAGAGATTGCTGCATGTTAATCTCACTTAAATTAAGCCAGAAACTCCAGAGACTTCCGTAATTCTATTTAAATTAAGGATCTGAGCTTCAAAAATACATTTATAATACATATGTGTCTGGGGCACAGGAAGAAAAGAGTTTGATGTAAACAAATGATCAAATTGATAAAAGTAAACATTTATAATTTTTTTTGGCTCACTGTAGATTCATTTCTTCCCACTTCCCACTTTGTCCTGCTAATCTGCTCTTGACTAAAACTCGTAGAGCTGTTTCTATTAATTTTTAAAACTATCAGCTTCAAGCTTTTTTCCTTTATGTTTAGATCATTCATGTAGCCTGATATTTTCCCATAAAGATCACTAATGTTATTACTAACACTCATGTTAGTAATAACATTACTGTGTCTAATTACATCTCTTTACGACAGGCAATTTGACTGTCATGGAGATTATGAGAGTAAAAGACTCATAATTTTGACTTTATAGCATGGAAGAATATTACTTTATATTAATAATAGTCACAACAAACAGGAGTTTACATGTTCCCTTCATAATTGTTTTTGAACGGTTGTATTTTTCAATACAGAGAAACATTACATAGATTGAATAGTCTGTGCCATTACTATACTAAGAATGGTGATGGTGATGTTAACATTATTTTGCAATCTTACATTTGACCATAACCATGTAAACGTCAATAGTGCAGATGGGAGGTTGAGGCAAACGTTCTCCTTTCTCTAATAAATCAGGGATTTCTCGAGTTGGAATTCCATCATAGGGTTTTCCTCCAAAGGTCATCAGTTCCCATATAGTAACTCCTACATTGGAGAAAAGATTCTTATGTAAGCACATTAACAACATATTTTAAACAAACCAGCAATATACCTGTGATAAGAATGTTCCTTATAGATTAACCAAAAGACAGATTTTTTGTTGTTGTTTTTTGGTTGTTTTTACAAAAAAAACTCCACCAATTCCTATATCCATTATGAAAACCCCAATGTCTAGATCTTTGTGGGAGAAGTCAATTTTCTTAAACGTCTAAAAGAGACAATTTACAGTGGATGTCGCTATATAGAATCTGTTCCCCATTTCTAACTACAGGTAATATTAATGTTTGCTGATCCAAGTTATATTTCACTATACCATGTTACAATCCATAAAACGATTCATCTACTATATCTAGATATGTATTCAGTACCAATAAATATAATTGTGGGATAAGATATTGATTAATTTTGAGATTAGCATCTTTGCTATAGAACGTTTCCAGAATTACGGTATGTTATGAAAAAGAATTGTGACTCTAACTCACACAAAGAAAACAGCTGAATAAAACAGATATATTTCTTTAGCATATATGAGAGCCTGAGTGAGAAATGTTCCATATATAATAATATATAGTACATGTGACGTAGGCATCAACAAAATTGAAGGGGATAAAAGTAGTTTATTCTTTAGATAATAAAATTACTTTATAGAATCACTAGACATTGATTTTCTCTGAAAAAACAAATATCCTAAATGTTAACATGCAAACAGCCAGTTTTGATAATGATGGTTCTGATTTTAGCAATAATACATAACTAAATATCTTTTTTATGATATAATGATCATATAATCTACGATATTTTTCTTAAGGATAAAGACTTTTAAGTTCAGAAATAGCTAGCTGGGCACAATAATATATTACAAAGTGAATTCTGACTGATGTATATACACAGTCATCTTTTAATATAAAATCCTTTAGAGCTATGTTTTTTTTCCTACTGCCATCTGTAATGAATTATTTACTCAGGCTGAAGTCTTTTTTAGTTTATTTCTTGATAATAGAATATTAACTATGACCTGATTATTTTGGTTAATATTTAAATCTTAGGATTTTAGATATATTGTTAATATGAATCTAGTGACAATTTGACTCATTGTTATTAAATTTTTAATTTTGTATATTAAGGAATAGCTCCTAAAGCCTGTTATAAAAACTTTCTATGAGGCAGGCTGCAACAGGTTAAGTGGATGACTGTTCATCTCTAGTTAGTCATATATATATATATATTCTAAAATATATATTCTATATATATATATTTTTAGACAGGGTCTCAATCTGTCACCTGGGCTGGAGTAAAGTGGCATGATCACAGCTAACTGCAGCCTCAGCCTCCCCAGGCTCAGGTGACCTTTTCACCTCAGCCTCCCTAGTAGCTGGGACTATAGGCAAGATCCACCATGCCTGGCTGATTTTTGTATTTTTAGTAGATACAGGGTTTCACCATGTTACCCAGGCTGGTCTAAAACTCCTGGGTTCCAGCCATCTGCCCACCTCAGCCTCCCTAAATGCTAGGATTACAAGCATGAGACACCATGCCCGGCCTAGAATATATATTTAAGGAGAACATGTTATTAACTTAGGTAGGCGGTTATAAAAGATAGAGTGGGTACTCTCACACCTCTATCAGAACTCCCAATATAAGTGAGATACAAAGCAACTATAAATCAAAATAGAAAATATAATAAACAGAAAAATACAAACATAAAAGCCAAAATATAAAAAAACTCTACTTCATCTGATAATAATCCAAGTATATCTTTGTAAAGGTGACGATAGGGTTAAACAAGTATGGTTTCATGTGAGAGAACAATATTAGGGAAAGCTAAGTCAAAACATCCTCAAATTTTACTTGCAATTCCATTATCTTAAGATGTATATCACAGTCGATGCTTATTTTTATAAAAATAAAAATGCACCGAGTGGTAATTTTCCATAAAGGTGCACTGTAAACAAGATTATGCAACTTTCTCTGCCTTTTATGCCTTTTGCAATCAACTATGATATATCATAAAATTTTAAAAATGCTTTATGAATATGGGTTGATGACCTGGGCTGTGTTTCAAAACAGGGTACTACCTATTTACTTATTTTTCTGAACAGTTCCTGGGATTTTTGCAACTCAACATGAAGAAAAATGTTATAGTCTGAGTAACAAGATTTTCCCCAAAAGACAAATTTTACTATTAAAAATATGACTGTTCTGTTGACGTTATATATACTTTCAGCTAATTTAAATTCGCCTTCAGGGGATTGCCACATTTGATTCAGGGAATTGTAAGTAGAAAAAGAAGAAAAAGAAAAAAGTATATACATATATAAAATATATGATATATAAGATATACAAATCTGACTTAATATATATTCTACAAAGCTATCTATATCATGTAACATATAAATGCTAATATAGATACTAATCCATATCATAATACATAAATCTATCATAGAATATATGTAATAGATGTCTTTTTCTATTCACTTCTTACAATAGTTTAGCAAGTAAGTTTTGTCAAGCATTTCCACTACATTTTTCTATATCTCAGACACACAACACTTTCTATTTCTGAGTAAAATAAACACATGAAGCTTTCAAGAAAATTTTAACACCTCGTATGGCATACATATGTGGGAAGAATAACCCATTTGATTGAAATGTCTTAAATACTTTTTTTTAAAGATAATTACTTCTTTCCTAGAGAAGTATAAGCTCTTAAGTGATTGTTTTATATCTTTTTTCCCAACAATGCAAAAAAAGATAAAACGTTTAAGTTTGAGTAAAATAAATTGTACCATACGTTTAAATCTCACCACCACCCTTTTACTTAAGTGGGCATGAAGCTTTTTTATTTGTAAGCAATGCTAATTTTATATCATCTATTTAAACGGAAACATACCGACTCCTTGGTAACACTGGACTTAAATTGTAAGTAGCCAGACAGATGCTAAATAGCTCATCTTAACAATTAAGTTAAACTCAATAAAATAAATGTTCTAATTATAAATATCACTTTTCCAGTTCATATTATTCACTTTGTAACATTTCTGTTACTCCACAAGTAGTTTGTAAATTAAAATTAATGTTGCAATTAGAAGTCTTCTCTTTACCATGTTCATTGCTCTCACTGTCAGTAATTTTTGTTATGACAATAATTTGTTTTCCACTACAGAACATAAATTCTCATATGCCATAAAACCCACAAAAACTTGATTTTGTTTTTATTTGAATATTTACTGTATTGAGTTATGTTTTCAAAAGTTGCTTAAAGTTAACACCATGACATTATATGAAATTGTCCATAAACTAAAATTGGCTGAATTTTTTTTCTGTCAAAATGATCAGGCAAGTTCCTACCAAACCAAAGCTTATAGAAAACACCTCAGCAGTGATATTAGTATATTATATTGCATAACAGAAATAACAGAAAAGGGCAGATAGCAATGATATTTAGAATATTTTGTTGTTCAATGAGTACACATGGACACAGGGAGGAGAATATCACACACAAGGGCCTGTCGAAGGGTGAGGGAAAGGGGAGGGAGAGCATTAGGACAAATACCTAATGCATGCGGGGCTTAAAACCTAGATGACATGTTGATAGGAAACCATCATGGCACATATATACCTATGTAACGAACCTGCACGTTCTGTACAAGTATCTTAGAACTTAAATAAAGTAAAATGGAATATTTTGTTATTTTTCAATGAGAAAGCAAAGTTAACTCCTGTAGGAAATTAGGCTTATAAATGGGTATTTATAACATAACAAAATAATTTAGCTTAAGATATTTCACATGAATTTAACATACATATTTTTGCCTTATAAGCTTTAATTCACAAAGATGATTTATTTACCATAGCTCCAAACGTCACTCTGATGGGTGAATTTCCTGTAATGTATACACTCCAGAGCCATCCATTTAATTGGCATCTATAGAGAAGTAAGAAGTAAAAGTTTTATAATTACATTAAAAATTCACTTCTATATGTATTTCCTAAATGTGAGTCTCTGGGCTGGCCTTAATCATATTTTTTTATTGTGCATATGTAGATATAACTATATAAGTTATATAACTATATGTTAATTCTATAACTGTTAATTTATAAAACTCACAAAATAAAGATGTACTATACGTATTTTTAAATTTTATTTATTTTTGAGACAGGGTCTCCTTCTCTCACACAGGCTGGAGTGCAATAGCACAATCTCAGCTGACTGCAATCTCTGCCTACCAGGCTCAAGTGATTCTCCCACCTTAGCCTCTGAGTAGCCGGGACCACAGGTGTGTGCCACCATGCCTGGCTAATATTTGCATTTTTTTAGAGATGGGGTTTCATCATATTGCCCAGGCTGGCCTAGAACCCCTGAGCTGAAGTGATCCGCCCACTTTGACCTATTAAAATGCCAGGATTACAGGCATGAGCCACCCTGCCCGGTCATACTTACATTTAAAAAAAAAAAAAAAAAAAGCTTTATAAACAATTAAAGGTAAAAATAATTAAGTAGGGATAACTTTCTATAGTTCTTGATTAATGTTCAGTAATTAATTTGCTGGCAAATTTGACTGACAATAACAAGTCTAAATATCTACTACACATACTTCTAAAAATGTATTTATAGATTTTTCTCTAAAAATGAGATTTGTTATATTTTCAGTTATCCCTTTCACCCTCAGACATATTTTGGGCCACCAGTACAATGGACTCGTTCTATACTTGCTCCTTCCCTTCTCCTCTCATATAATTTGGCCACTAAAATGCCTAAAATCATGAATTCCAAAGTTAGCCTTGCTTTGCTTTCCAGCTTCAAATGACCTCTCTCATCTTGATTAGTCAGTATTGAAAATATGTACCATTTTCAAAATAGGAACTATATAAAAGAATGTGAGAGGATCAGCACAAATCTATCATCACTACAAGAAAAACAACTCAACCCACATATCCTGCTGATGATGGGTCAGCAGAATGAGTTTCAACTATGAAGGGCAGCATTATATAGCTGAGAATATAATTAGATTCTATGGAATAAAGATAAACACTTCCACTTTGCAGTTGAAAGCTTAAAACTAAATAGGCCTTTGAAATCATGAGGTTGGCTGCTCACCAAGGTGACACCAAGGTAACTCTATGACAGAATCATGGTATTCAGTGAAAGGGAACAGAAGACACATTGAAAGTAATTTCCCTATGGGCAAGGAGTTAGAGACTTTATGGACTACAGACACTGTGTTAAAGAAGTAAGTTTAAATCACAGGTAGCTTGATAAAGACTTAATGGTTACCAAGCATTTAAAGCTATAATGAATCTTGCTTTAGACAAATCTTACGTCTCAAATCTTATATTCTCAAGACAAGTGAAGTCAGGTGATTTATAGACTTCAACGTCTGTGCAGTCTTATAGTGAATTTCAAAGCTGTGGTTTCAGACTACTGCAATTTAGTAGCAAACAGGCCAAATAGGCTAATAAAATCAAGGAAAAGCCAGATAATTCCTCAACACTGTAGGTAGTTTAAAAAATTTTTGTGTTACTTTGTCTTATGATGAAGTTAAGTATTTGGAACCCTATCATTGCAAAATATTTATAATATATATTTTAATGGTCCCTGATAAATAAGGCATATAATAAATATATTTATATGACACAAAAATAACTGGGTTTTTTGTTAGTGTAAGCTTAAAGGTCACCATAAGCTAAAATTGCATTTGCTTATTTTATTTCAACTGCCTGATATTAAGTTTGTCAGGTGAAGCTAGAGGGCTCTCCCTAGGAAGTCTAGTCCTAATAGATTGTCCAAGAAAGGCACGCTAAAGAGAGGGTTAATAAGGAAATACAAGATATGGGACTAAGGCATGGATTGAGACCTCATGTTGGATGAAACAGGCAGGAACGCCATTGTCAGACAGGGGCTGAGACTAGAGGGTCAGGAAAGGTAGATGAGGCAATGGCTCTGTTCAGGGTTCTTTGTAGTACTTGAGTTTTTCTCTGAGAGAGAAGCTATGTTCTCTATAAGAGTCAGTGCTATGGGCTTTAGATCAACGGGACAATTTCTACAGCCATGCATCAAAGTTTAATTTCTAGAATCCCTAAGGATACACCCACTTCCCATCCCTGGATCTAACATGAAGGTCACATGGGTACAGACACACATCACCTTATTTTAGCTACTTTTGAGAAACGAAAGTTGGTAATGTATGGTATATATGATATACACATACATATACATAACCTGGGCAGGGGAAAAGGCAAATGGTAGAACTAAGGTTTTATAATCTCCTAAGCCTCAGGCTTATTGGTTTCTTGTATAAAATATAAGGAGAGAAAAGGATATTAAACTGTATTTTCAAGCAATATTGCTTTCAAAATGATACTCACCTTTCCTCCATCAGCATTGTACTCTTTTTCATCTCCTTCTAAGAGTCTGGCTAGTCCAAAATCTGTGATTTTCACATGGTTTGGAGATTTCACTAAGACATTGCGGGCTGCCAAATCCCGATGAACAAGCCGTCTTTCTTCCAGGTACATCATTCCCTGAAAAACATCAAGTTCCTTAATGACATAGTTCGTTAATGCCTAGGCTTTTCCTTTTGTCTAAAAAAGAAGTCTCTTAGCCTTCAGTTGGAAGTGCCTAATTTTTCGAGTGAAGCCAGAATTCTAGAATATTTTCAAAATTAGAGAAAACCTGATTTTGGGGGACAGCAAACCACAAATAGCTTTTGATCTTTTCTCCCTAAAGTCCTATGAGACAAACAAATTACTTGCCCATGAGCTAAATGTTAGATGATTATTTTCCAAGCAACTTGATATCCTTTTGCAAACACTTTCGTTAGTGAGGTGTACAGGTGTTGTAGTAGATAAGCTAACATATAGTTGGATTGACCCACATATTCATAATCATTTTCTTCTGAATAATTTCTGCTTCATGTCATTTTCTCCCTACATATCCAAACAAATACCTCTATAATTTTTAGAAATATTTCATTTGAGGTTTGATGGTGCCAAAATCGCCATCATAGATTCTGTGGAGGCTGAATAATTATACTATTCTCTTTATACTATTATACTAAGAATTATGCTATTCTTATTAATTATGCACAGAATAAAGTATATACTCTAGGAGTCTTAAAAACCTATAATTTTTAAGAAGGCTTCTATGACATCAGTAGTCATTATGAGGATTCACTGTGAAATTACACAGGTTGTAGTGACACTGAATTAGCCTTTAATATTTTGCCTTTATAAAACATACAGGGAAATTAAAAATAAAATTTGCTACTGTTGAACAGCAAGAGGCACAGCTTGCTCTCTTCAATACATGAATATATAACAATATATAACATGTTACATATTAATATCTATACAAATTCAGAAAAAAATGTTCCATAGTAGAATTATTAATTGTACTTCGGTAGCAGGTGAACTAAGAGTTGCTAAACAATTATTTTTAACAAAAGAGCTTATGTAAAACTAAGGAAATAAACCTGAAGCCTAGATTAGAGTGAATATATTTTTGTTTAAGAGTTAGGGGAAATTCTATATTTGATGATTTTAGTTGTAAAAAGGTCATCATTTAAAAACAGATTCGAATTATTATAAAATGGTGGAAGCATACTCTATGCCAATTGCAAATAAATGCTGTTGGCAGTTAACATTACAACTGCAGGACTTTGAAGGATTAATGTTTTCTGATATCAAAACAAAAGCTGTGGAAAAGAGACACATAAATCACACAGGTCAAAAAACTATGAACCGTATACCTGGTGTAGTATAAAGAGAAGATTACCTCAAACAGCATCATGAGCCAAACTCCATATAAATGCACATTAAACACAACCAGTGGAGATACTGCCTGATATGGTCTAATCAGTCAACAGTTGGGTGACACTCTGAGTATTAGTGTTTTCTGAAATCAACTTGGAACTGAGATTTACGGGACTTTTGCCCTCTCTCCTAAACAGTGCTTTGTGGTTGAGTAAATTAGAAATTCCTAGAATAAAGTACATCTGAGAACATATAGCCCTTATATGACTTAAAGGATCAAAAAAAAAAAGTAAATGCATTGCCTTGGAGATAAAGTATTTTCATGTTTTCTCAGATGATCCTATCCTTTGAAGAAATGTTCATGAAACATTCATTGTTCTCTTTCTCATCACCTGCATATCAGAACATAGGATATATGTTGGCAACAGGTTAACATGTACTATGTGCTATTTGCAAGGCACTGAGAAGACAAAAAAGAGATAAGATCTGTACATTAAAGGAGAACAGAGGCTAATTAATAAAGTGGGCAGATAGGACTTGAATGGACTGATGTGATACATGCAAGGCATTTAAGAACTGTATTCTGAGTCCCTTATGTAGTATAGCTTAGCAAGTGACTAGGAGGAGAGACTTCAAAGCATTACTGAGGCCTAAGTAAGGCTTGAATGATGTCTTGCAGTTGGACAAAGTGAGGATAAAACTGCAGGCAAAAAAAACAAGCACAGGGGCAGCAGCACCATGGTGTACTTGGACAAAGATATGCCATTCTGTAATTCTAAAGTATAATGTATGAGGGTGGGACAGTGGTGAGCAGTGGAAGTGAAAACAGAAGAGGCAGGGTCCAAGAAGGGTCCCTTATATGTCATGGTAAGGAACTTAGACTTTTGTATTTCATGCAGTACACAATTAGGTGATGTGGAATTTCTTTTTAAAAGGAGAGAGAGAGATTATTGTTGGACTCAAACACCACTCTGGTGTCAGTACAGAGAACGGACTGGACACCAGTGCAGCTGAAGGCAGGAGCCGTTGCCACAATACAGAAGCAACTTGATGGAAGTGTACAATAAAGGTTGCAAACTGTCAGTCCATGCGCTACATCCGTTTTTCAGATTTTTTTTTCTTTAGTTCTCACACTGGGCATGGGTTAGTCATTCTCTTTAGCCAAGACCAACTGCACCCCATGAGGGCAATTCGACCCCATTTTTCAATATCCCACCAGAATTCTGCTTCCATCACTTAAAACACTCATCTGCTCCTACTAAGCTGCTCCTAGTTTAGTTCAACTAAACTAGGCCAGAAGGAATATATCAAGGAATATTTATAAAATAATCATCCTTGGTATTTGTTTGAACAATGAAGAAAGAATACATAGAGAACAATTTGGTTTCTAGACTTCTGTAATTTAGGTGGATAATGATCACTTGAACCACATATTCTAATAAAAATATCATTTTTATATTTCTTAAACATGCGCAGGAAGACTGAGATGTACTTTGCCAATAGCGAACTAAAGCACATTCACCAAGAAATTTAAAACTGCTATGTTCTGAATGGTTTTATGTCCTTCCTCAAATTTGTATGTTGAAATTCTAGCCCCCAAAGTGATGGTGTTAGGAGGTGGGGCCTTTGAAAAGTGATTAGGTCATAAGAGTAGAGCCTCATGAATGATAGTAGCACCCTTATAAATGAGACCTCAGAGATCTGTTGCTTCTTCGGCCAGGTGAGGTTACAGTAGCTACGAACAACCAGGAATCAGGTCGTCCACTAGATACTAAATTTTCTGGTACCATCATATGAGACTTCCCAGTCTCCCAAACTATGAGAAATAAATTTCTGTTTGTGGTATTTTGTTATAGCAGCCTGCACAGACTGACAGTATAATGACAAACTCTACAATACAAAAAAAAAAAAAAAAAAAAAAAAAAAAAAAAAAAAAAAAAAAAAAAAAAAAAAAAAAAAAAAAAAAAAAAAAAACTTCAAAAACTCCAAAAGTTCTTTGAAATTCTATACACAAAGCCTCAGCAGGTGATAGACTATCCTGAGGCTAACTACTATGTGTCCAGAAAATATATTTTCTTCAAAATAACAAGAACTCAATTTAAAGAAACTAGGTGACAATCTCTAGGCAGTTTCTTTCACCCACCTGACCATCACTAAAAGCAATAAGAACAGAAGTATCTATATATTAGCAAACCATTAAAATACATGTTTATGGTTGCTTTGTAACAATGAAACATCATTATACAGATGCATACTTTCAGATTATTGCTTACTACAGCCATCTTAGTCCTACTTTCACACCTTGAGAGTGTTGAATCACCTATGGATTGCTCATAATAGCTTTCTCCATATCAGTCATTAAATAGGATTTTCTTACTGGAAGATCTCATTTGAGTCACGCTCTCTGCTAAGTTCCTTCAAAATGAAATCACTCTCCAAAATCAGAGTGTCATCCAACTAAGGTAGCAGACACTTATTAGAAATAACAGCTACAAAAACAAACTGGATGAAGTCCCTGGAAGTTTTAAGATGAACAAATAAGGGTCATTCATCATGATGCTGTGTTGGTGGGTAAAGAAACCTTATACTCTGCCCTATAGCAATTCCCATGTCCATGCCAGACCAGCTTGAGTAAAGTATATTATGAGAAGAATAAAACTGTCAGCAATCACAGCTAACATTGACCCAGTACTTAGAACGCAATAGTAATGAAAGCAAGTGTTGCTACATTGGTTGGTTAACTTAATCCTATGAGATACATACTGCTGTCGTATTTTAAAGATGAGAAAACTAAGTCTAAGTGAGGTCAAGTTACTTGCTCCAAGTTATCTAATCAGGGGCTCCCAAGCTCCGGGCCATGGACCAGCACCAGTCCATGGCCTGTTAGGAACTGGGCTGCACAGCAGGAGATGAGTGGCAGGCCAGTGAGCATTACTGCCAGAGCTCTGTGTGCTATCAGATTAGTGGCGGCGGCATTAGATTCTCATAGGAAGCTGAACCCAGATGTGAACTGTGCATGTGAGGGATCTAGACTGTACACTCCTTATGAGAATCTAATGTCTGATGATCCAAGCTGAAAAAGTTTCATACTGAAACTATCTCCCCTACTGGGCCCCCACAAACGCGGTCCCTGGTGCCAAAAAGGTTGGGGACTGCTGATCTAGCTAATGCATGGTAGAAGTTGGATTGAATCCCTTGCTGTGATGACGATAAAGTCTATACTTATAAGCCTATCTTCCCTCTTATTGGGTCACAGGATTATGTGGGCACAGAGAAATTAATGAACATAGTGAAGTCAGTTTTTTTCTTTTTTTTTTTGGAGACAAGGCCTAGCTCTGTCATCTAGGACGGAGTGCAGTGGCATGATCAGGGCTCACTGCAGCCTCAACTTCCTGGCCTCAAGCAATCCTTCTGCCTCAGACTTCCAAAGTATTGGGAATATAAGCATAAACCACCGCATCCAGCCTTTTGAAGTCATATAGCTTTAAAAGACCCTAGTACTTTGGCAAAAAAAAAAAAAAAAAAAAAAAAAAA